ACAATGATGAAAAGGAAATGCTGCCATAAAACAATCTGGTTACAACTGAGAAAAGAATGACAAAAATTCTGAAGTCATTTCAGAAAAATTTCAGTTTCAGTTATGGCAGAAAATTATCATCTTGGTCCATTTGGTACCGTTAACAGCCTAGAATTGTGCAGTATCATATGAGCTCATGAAGAGCCAACTAGTGATAAAGCAAACAGTAAGTGACACACAGGAAAAACAGGTTTATTCATGGTAATTTATATGAAATTTATGAAATGGAGAAAGGGAGAAGATACAAATAAAAATATTGAAGCTACAAGCCAAGGTAAAACAGTATTTCACAGCACTAGCTATGAAAATGAAACAAGGCAATATGAAGAAATACATAGAGAGAGGTAACAGAGGAGAATTCCCTCTCCAACATACACATTGTTCAACCTACAGCCATAGGGGCAATGACGGTGTTAAGTGGGCAAATTTCCAGGGACTTTCCCCATTTGTTCAGCCAACTAGTTGCAAACAACTCATTCAGTCAAGCCAGGAAGAGCAAGGGAGGTGAAGGGGTGGGACGTGCTTGTTAGAACCACTTCAGATGCCCAAGTGGAGAGGCAATCTCTTTTGACTGCCTGTAGGAAGCATCAGCCAAATGCAGCTCAGGAACTCTGCCGTCACTGCTCCACAGCTGTGCTCGTGGACGTGATCCTCAGAGTCGTCAACAATCTTGTCCATCGTTCACCCCAATGTATTGCCTCATAGCCACTGGCCCTTCTACAGCACAAGATAATCTCTTACATCATGAGCAGAGACAGAGGACTCGTCTGGTGTCCTTTTTACTGACCCATGCAGTCTTACAGTCTTTTTTCCAGAATTTTTCAAAACTCCACACTCAACTGAATTAAAACTCAGAAACTTTGCCACCAACAGAGACCTGCAGAAACCCCACCTCTTTCAACAGTGCCAAAGGCATGTAAAGAGAGCTCCCGTGGATAGCTTCTCATTGTGCAGAAATAAAATTAAACTGTCTAGATGACTTTGAAGTCCCTTCTGCCGTGAGCAGCCTTCTTCCTACCTACTGCAGAAATTAAATCAGAAATGTGCTTAAGAAAAGGTCTTCTCAGCTGCAGGAAAATCAAATCAAAATGTCTGGTTATAACCAAAGTCTTTGCTGTGAAAGAAGTTCTCCCTGTTGTAAATTTCTTCTGAGAAACGCACCCCATTGTAAGCTAAATGAGAGTTTCTTGTAGAAGCCCAGTGAGATCACATCAGCCTATTTCTGACCAATGTCTCCCTCAGGAAGGGCATTTCCCTCACCATCCTGAAACGTGAAATGCACTCAAGCCTTCACATAAGAGATGTCAGCGATCAGCTCTTTGCAACAATCACCTGCTTCCCTTCTTTTGGGGAAGGCTCCAGCAGCGGTGAGCCAGATCCAACAGTATCTGCTAGTCGGTGTGCTGGAGAGCTTCTACTGCAGGCCTGCCTTTGGAGCATGGAGACCCAACTTGTTGCACTGACAGAAGACTACTGTCTAACTGCAAACAGAAGCAAAGCATGTGCACCGATGTTGGCTGATCAAAGGATTAGCCAGGAGTTGTTTCCAGTTATCTGGAAGTCTTCAGCTGGCATCGTATTCCTTCGCTCATGTTCCCCATCAAGTCCCAGGGAGCCCTAGTGAGCTCTTTACCAAGCCTGACACCTGTCAACAGTTGTAGGAATGGCAGAGGAGTGATGGGCTACAGCATTAGCTGACATCATGCAGATTTGACTCTCGTTCTTATTCAGGGAAAAAGGACTGAAAGCAGATGGTCAATGCAAAATCTCAGTTGGACAGTGCCAGGCTGCCTCCTTGGGTCTGTGTGGTTATGCAAGCTCGAGCAAA